GTGATCTGAAGTGGAGATCCATGGATCTTGTGATCTGAAGTGGAGATCCATAGATCTTCTCACCGTTTGGACCAGCGGTAACACATTCTGCTTCGACCACAGCAGTTCAATCCGGGGATCCGATGGCCTCCGGATCTCTTCAGCACCATTCCTTCTCTGAAAGACAAAGCTCCCATGAACCCCACAGAAAGGCTAATATTATATTACATTACAGAATAAAGGACATTAGTCCATTTGTGTTTATCAAGGGGTTGAAAGAAACTTCATTCATGTAAATGTTCGAATAGAAGAAGGATGTTTATCTTTGTTCTTTTCTATTCATTGGCATCGTTTGCTCATATAATATAATATAAACTGTACAAACACTATTTTTTTATAGGTTTTTAAAGATGACTGAGATGTTCTTACAGGCCCTTCGGTCCCAGGTCGTGGATAAAGGACAGCTGGCTGATATCGATGAACTCCATCTGAAAGGCAGAAACAAATGTTCCCACGTTGCTGCACGTGAATCATCTTTCTGACCGACCGCTCCGATGTGAACATCACCGGACCGTTGCGTGGTAGTTCCTGTACATCGGCATCTTCAGCAGGTTGTTCAAGTAATCCTCCAGTTGTTTCTGCAAACGCGAGACAAACATCAGCCGGGAAACAAAGGCAGAAGGTGATGGAGGTCGGACGGGTGGAGGAGGTCCTTACCCGTCGACTGGAGACCTGGCCGTCTCTCTCCAGCTCGTCTCCTCCTCCTCTGGGCAGGTTGGGGATTGGTTTCACCTCGCTCCTCGCCGCCGACAGCCTCCTCACCGTGTGGCTGCAGAGGGAGAGAGAGGTTGAAGCCGAGGGTTCGAGTGAGCTCCAACCTGAGAAGAACGACCTGGGTCACCTTCTCGTGGGCAGCGGCAGCTTCATGAAGGTCTTGTAGGTCCTCAGCTCCCTGTGGAGCTCCATAAAGTGCTTCTCCTTCTTCTTCACCAGCCAGGTGAACTCGCCGTGTTTCATCTCGATGTTAAACACCGCCGGCAGTGACTGAGCGGCGGGTCAGAGGTCAGAGGGAGACAATCGACGTCTTACATTGAACAAACAGATGTAATATTATAATATAAATACACTACGATTTAAAATGCAAAACGTGAATTATTTCATGCAGTCGGCACAGTTGGATTTGTTTCTGTTCCTTTAACTTCAACCTCATGAAACCCCTGAGCTAACAGCTAACAGCTAACGCTAACCGAGGTTCCATTGAGTTACATAATGACGCGTTCAGGTTCGTTCTGTGAACATAAGTACTCGGAAAACGTGAATTTTAAAGTCCTTGTAAGATTTAGTTTTGCTGATAAATTCAAATAAATCCAAATGGATATTAGATATTTATCGCAATATTCAATTTCCTAAATGTAGCTCTAAGCAGCTAAAAAAAACAAAGAATAACACTAATAAATACTAAATTGAGGACAGCAGCCTGACTTGACCTGTGACCCCCCCAAAGAGTTTTACATTAAGAACCCAGAACCAAGACGGCGGACGCGGCACCTTGTTGACGCTCCTCTGCGCCGTCACGTTGAAGCGGTCCTGGTTCTTGGTGAAGCGCTCCACCTCCAGGAACTTGGCCGTGACCGGCGAGGACAGGAAGACGTTGGCCTCGGCCTCCTTGAAAGCCACCATGTGGTAGACGGCCGTGAAGGGAAGGCGCTCGGCTGCGGGATGCACAAAGACAGGTGTCAGGTGGGGGGGGAGGGGTGGGGTAGAGTGAAAGGTGGGGGTGTACCCGCTCACCTGAGCCGTGGGCGTCGGTCGTGTCGTACTCGCCGTCTTCCAGGTCGAGCTCGCGGCTGTCCAGCGTCTCCATGATGCCGGTCAAGTCGTTGGCGACCAGCTGCAGCGTGCTGGAGGTCGGCTCGCTCTGCCGCAGCATGGCTAGCACTCAGTCCGGAGCCCGGGGCTCACCTGGAGGCACAGGTGAGGGGGAGGAGACGGGATGAATAATGTAACCCCGGGCCGAGGATCCCCGCGGCTTCCCCCGGCCCGGGACGGGACATCCGATCCCTTTCCGATCGGACCCTGCGGAAGAGCAGCAGAGGCGCTGGATCTAAACCCGCTTCTGATAATCAATCATCATCAACCAAGACGCCGCGGCTCCCCACGCGCTTGTGTCCGCGTTCGCTTGCAGCGCTGCAGGCCGACGTCTGGTTGGTTCCATAGAGAATAAGCAACACCCTCTGGTTGGTTTAGTCAGATTTAAAGGTCAGACTGACGCTTTTCATGCGACACGAGGACGCTGCTCTAATTATTCAAACTGAAGATCACATTAAACATCTGAAATAAGGTGAAAACAGCGGAGACGAGAAGTCTCTCGCACAAGGTCACTAAACTCCTCTCGTCTATTATTCTGGTTTATCCTGTTGCACAATCAGGGGAAGTTGGCTTCTGTCGATTTCGTTGAGTTGAGCTGTGGTTCGTCTGAGGACGGTTTGCTTTCACTTCCTCGTCCAGTCGACCTCAGAGGCCAAAGTACAGTTAATATTGTGGTTTAAAGGCTGCTTAGTTCTGTAATAAATGACATTTCTGGTTACAATTTGCACTTGAAATGATAAAGGATGTAATTTAGTAGTTTGCCCTGCATCATTTACCTCAATTGGACAATAAAGCTTAAGATAAGGGTGGAGCCTGTGACTTTAGTTGGAGCAAAATGTCCAAATGATCCAGTTCCCTTCTCAGGGGATTTGATCTGTATATGAGAAAAGTGTCTCCTGATGTTCCGCCACCTGGTCACCAGCCGCAGAAGACCTGAGCCTTAAAAGGGTGATCAAATCAAGCTACAACAACATCTCATATTTTAGAAATGAATATGAAATAACATCGACCTACGTCGGCTTCGCCCTTCAGCTCAGGTAGCGTTTCTCTCTGCAAACAAACTAAATGCAAACGCAGCGACCTTTACTGTACTCGCATGATGCTGCAGAGCTATTTGGTTACATGCACACAGACAGACACACACAGACAGACAGACGCACACAGAGCGGAGTATGCAAACCTCCCGCCGCGTTAAGGAGAAGTGTGTCAGTGTGGAAATGTGTGTGAAAACGAGGTGTCTGCAGAGGTGGAGCAAAGAAGAAAACAAGCAGAGAAGCAGCAGGATTAAAGATGGAGGAGTGAAAGGAGGCAGAGAGTCAAACAAAGCCGTCTGAGGATGAAAATCACCTCCACAAGCCAGAGATCACAGAGCCGACATGAACCGCTGTGTGGTGGTGAAGGAAGACCGGACAGAGCTGCACGGTTATTGATCACTCTGGTAACAAACAGCATCCGTCACCCGTTTCAACCAAGACCACAATATGTTATATTATTTTAGCATCGTTTCCGAACCCGAACAACCTGAATCTCTCCTTGAGGACAGATGAATGGATGAATGGATGAATCTATGTGACTCAAACAAAGGGGGGAATCGAGCGGGTCGCTGTGGACCTTAGAAATAACAAATATAACAATTAACAAATCACAACAATATATTTTAAGATGATTAATCGTCCGCGTCATACCGGCCCAGTGGGCACTCACAATAATTGGGTACAGTTTGGAGCATCGCTCCCCCCCCCGACCCCCCCGGTCCCCCCAAAGAGCATCACTCGCCAGCCAGGTGGCCGGCGGCCGAGTCCACACACACACACACAGACACACACACACACAAAAAACACACACACACGCACACTTAGAATTTGGTGATCAATGAGGATGATTCATTCAGTCTGCTGGTTCCTGCTTCTCAAATGAGAACTAGTTTGGTCACACAAATGAAAAGGAAAGAGTCGGATAGGATCTCGCTGTGAAGTACCAGGACCCCTTAAGCTTTTCCTTTGAACGCGCTGTTGTGTGTTTTCCTGACCCGTGGATATCAATGTCGGTGTCACGCTTAAAGGAAATGAAGACGACACTCTGACAACTTCACATCTAACACACTTAAAGAAAAACTTAAGGATCATTTAAATAAAAGTTGACGGACAAAAAAAAAAAAAAAGATTCAGGCTGAATCCTGAATGCACAAATACACAACTAACACACATCTAACACACTACAAACACACAACTAACAGCAGCTCTACGGGACGCTTCCACTGACCTGAGCCCGCGCAGGGTGGAGGAAGCACATCATCACCATCTTCATCACTTCCCTCAACTGTCCGTCAAACAGACTCAAAAACAAAGCCAGAAGCCGCCGCTCTTCCTCCTCTTTCTTCCTCCTCCTCCTCCTCTGCAGTGTCTTTGCTCACACACACACACACACACACACACACACACACACACACACACACACACATCCAGAGACACGCACACGCATACATTGTGCGGGACCCGACAGAAGGGCTGGGAGGGAGGGACACAGGGGGGACAGCCAATCAGAGTAAAGAAAGAAAGGGAAAGGGGCGGGACTTCCTGTTTGAAGTACCGATCGTGTCGAAGAGGCTTTGGGCCACTATAAGAAAGATCAACTTTTCCCACCACGGTCCTTCATTCTGAGTTTGGATCGGCAGGAAATGTGCTGAGGATTGATTCCATGTTTAGTTAGTTTAGTAATGTTTAGCTGGTTTCCCCACCTGAGTTAAGCAGACCGGCATGACTCATTGTTGACATTCCAGAGGAGGACCGAGACAAAGACACACACACACACACACACACACACACACACACACACAGGAGCTCACACAACATTAAGGGAAGACGGGTGTGACGACGAGAAGACGGATTGCTTAAACTGACTCTTTTCTCCATGGAGTCTGGTGGGCGTCAGAGTCCCCGAGGCCTGAAATGACCCACTCGTACCCTAAAGCCGCCTCCTCCCTCCGCTTCCGCCTCTCAAGGGAATAATTCATATCCTCAAATTAACACGGATGTGTTCAGCAGGTGCAATGTCTGAAAGGTCCAGCATCTTAGCTTAGCGTGTCAGCACGCTGATGTTTTTAGACCGACAGTGCTGCTGCTGATGTGTCCATGGACACAGAGCACGTGTCACGCGTTGGAAGCCGACACGTCAGGCTGCTCATGAGTTGTTCTTCACCTTCTTATTGTCTCTGGTTCTTCCACTCGTTGCACAGCAGCACTTTGCCTTTGCATGATTCAAATGGAACTTATCAAGCAGCGGGATCAGAACGCATTCAAATCTCCACAGAAAAATACTGAAGCGTCTGTCACACAGGGTCATGTTCCAAACATCCGCGTGGGAAAGAAATGAGTCACGATCACAAAGCGACTCAAATGTACCTCAAATATTTCGGAGCAGAAACTCAGGTGAGCTATTAAGGCTCAATTGAACCTTGTTAAACACAGCGCCGCCTGGTGGTCACCTCTGTCCCTGCACGCACCGTTTCCTACACACGCTGGGATGCATACAGACGGATATCTAGAGAGATTATTTAGGAATTCTAGTGGTGGAAAATAGGAAATACTCCTTTACGGGGCCTTGGCAGAAAAATCACGACTGTGAAAATGGAGAAAAAAAAACAAGAGACTAAAATATGACCCCAAAAAGAGACACAAATGAGGTCGGAGGTTACCCAGAAGCCTTTGCTCCATCGGGACCTTTCACTGACTTTAGGAAGCGGCTTGTTGCTTAATCAGATGATCGTGATCTCCTGCTTCCACCAGTCGAACAAGTGGCCCCACAGTGCTCTGCTTACCGAGACGTTTCAGGCAGGCGGGGGACGCTCCCTCCATCACGAGGACGCTCAAATACCACGGCGACAAGTTCTCAATCAATCAGCTTCCTTCAACCTGCCGGCTGCTCGCTGACTCTACGACTCCACTGAACTTCTGAAGAAAGGAAACGGGACGACGTGCTGGACATGAAGGAGTGTGTCGGCTCTGTGTGTGTGTGTGTGTGTGTGTGTGTGTGTGTGTGTGTGTGTGTGTCTTCAGATAGTTCATCGATCTCGACAGCAACAGATAATCTGTTCAAGTCACTTTGTGTCGTCTCACGCTGACGTTCAGCCGCTTCCCTCTTCACCCGGAGACGTTTCGTGTTGACTCTCGTTGGTGTGTGTCATGAAATGTCACTGCTGGTTGGAAGCTGCACACACACACACACACACACACACACACAAACACACACCTACAAAGTCAATTAAGCACTCCCTGCCTGTGTGTTTGCTGGAGGAGCGATTATCTGAATATAGAAATCAAACAAACCCACACACACACACACACACACACACACACACACACACACACACACTTTGCCCGATTTAATTCAGGACAATACAAAAGAGAGAAATGACTCACACTTGAGTCTAGAAGAGCAGGTTCTTCCAAAACCAAACACAAACACACACACACACGGACACACACACACACAGACACTCACACACACACACACACACACACACACGGACACACACACACACACACAGACACACACACACACACACACACGGACACACACACACACACACGGACACGCCCCTGCACTCACGCGCAGATCAAACAGATAAAGGAAGCACATCCGCTCTTTCTTCAGACGGGCGACTTGTTGCTCCACATCGTTTCCACACAGAAAACGTACAAAAGAAAAGAAAAAGAAAGGAAGCGGCTTCCTGCACTGCGAGAGGACGCACCAAACTACGACTCCCATGGTGCAACGCAGGAAGGCTCAACGCTGCGGTTTGTGGTCGTCTTGACATATTAGGAGTGTCTTTGTAGCCAGGTTGTGTGTCTGATCGCTCTGCAGCCAAACGTGTCTTCTGTTGGTTTTACATTTATTTCTTATTGTTATTGTGTCGACCCCTGACCCCTGACCCCTGTAGGCCCGGTCAGCTAGCAGCGGTTGAAGATTACGCTTTGTGAAAAAACACAAAAAACTGCTGAAAACATTTAGCAACTTCATTCAGGTCAACTTGTGGCAACGTCGGGAAGATTCAGCAACGATGGCGACATGAGGACAACGTGCAGAAGGGCTGTGACTGACAGCGGCCTCCTGGGCGAAAGTCACCCTTACGTACACACTCATCTGTCACGCGGGTTTGACACAGGTTGCGTTACTTCTTTGCGGCTCCTGGCGGAGCTTTAAAGTGAGTTCCGAAGCATTCGGGGAGGTGGAGGAGACCCAAGACGGAGCTAAAAGAGAGAGACTACAGCACTTCCAATGAATCTTCATGTCACGACTGGATGGGGATGTGAAGTTTAATACATCACCTGAAAAGGTTGATCAAGTGTCAAAAACATTGTTTAACTGTAATCGAGAGCGGAGGAGGAAAACTCTCCTCTACGACGCCGACTGTCATTAATTGTGGAATGCAGCGAGATTTGAAAACAAGAAAAGCTCCATTCCTGAGCGGCACAATCCGTCACTGTTTGGCCTCTTTAACTTTAACTCACCGAGCAACAAACCGCCTTGCGGACGCAGACGCGCCGCCACACAAACAGCGTTTAATGAAATAAAAGAGAAATAAGTCACCGGACCCGCTGTGTCGTGACGAGGACGACTAATTCTCGTCTGCTGGGTCACAAATACAAACATAAAGAATAGTTTAGTCGCTCCGACATATTGCAGTTTAATCTCCAAACATCTCCAAAGTTGCACAAATGAAGGCAAAGCGTCTCCATGGCAACGACAGAATCGGATGCAAAATTGCTCACGTGGGTCTTAGAGCTTTGAAGATAGTTGTGACGATAAAGTGACTCTTCAGACGCTACAAACACCCACAAGTTTAAACAAGAAGGAGGAAAAACACAGGACAGTTTTATGACACTTCAACCTTCTTCATCAGATTATTAATTAGTCGATTTAATCGACGGGCATCGGACTCCCTTCGACGGGAGGAGCGAGGGAAGATATCAGGTCCGACCCGTTCCGGTCCTCCGGGTCCGAACCCGCCCCCGGGCCAGGGTTTGACCCCCCCACCCCCCGCCCCCTCCCGGATCTCCGAGTCAACACCGCGCCGGAATGCGATGCCGCGGACACTGCAGAGAGACGGATGCTTACGTGCCCGAAATATAAAAGAGAGACAGAGACGGAGAGACAGAGACGGGGGGGGGAGACAGACGCGTCGCCGCTGCGCTCCTTGCGCGCGGACTTTACGCGCAGACGGCCGCGCTAATTGGCACCGCACGAGCCAACTTCGCCAAACGCCGAGACGGTTAAATGCGCCCAGAAGCGCGCGCGCGCACGCTGAGCCGCGCAGGGCGAACTGCGACGCGACGCGTCTGTTTGGCTTCTTACCTGCTCGCGTGAAGTGAAGCGACAGCAGCCGCTGGTGTGAGTGACTGGAGGAGCTGCGGGACGCCAGCACACCCGCCACGTGCGTCAAGTCCCGGCAATCAGCAGCGGAACCACTTTCAAAGTAAAACCCTGGGAAAAGGAAGTTGGACATAATGATCATTTTGATGGCAATAACAATAGTAACAGTAATAATATATATTTATAGTAATACTTATACTAATACTAATAATATAAATATTATTCAACTATTAATTATTAATATAATACTTTAATGATAATAATTTATTATTATACTCTTATTTTGGTCTCTTATGTAGACCAAAAACAAAGATAGTAATTTTTGGAATTATAAAAAATTATAAATAAAAATGTTATCACTTGTGCACTGCTGTCTTGTTGTCTATTGTCACACTGTCTACTGTCACGCACCAACCGCCAAGACAAATTCCTTGTTTGACATATTTTGTCAATAAATGTTTCCTGATTCCTGATGCATGACGTGATTTGCCTTTGAGCAAAATGTTTGAACCTTTTGCAGACAAGCCTCTTTTTTTTGGCCTCTGCTCTGGAACTACTTGGTCTATTGTACAATGTTCTTTGTGGGGGTAAAGGGGAACCCCACCGTAAGTACTATAATGTGTGACAGTCAGTTCATATGTTACTGTTGAAAACAAATATCAATATTATGGTACTGGTTCCACCACAGTTTTGACCTGGTTCTGGCTTGTTTGGGCCCCAATTGGGATCTGCTAGTCTCCAAAGGGTAAAAATCCATTTAAGAAATGATTGGTATTGTTAAACTTTATTTAAGAGGATGCAACAAATTTGAGTTTCCCTTTTCTCGCCTCCGTGTAATTAAACATACAAAGTCATGAGGTTCTCAGCTAATATAGAAAAACTCAATAACCACAACAAATAATAAATACAAGTAACAGTAACACAAGAGCTTAATAGAAACTAAAACTTTAAGTCCCATTGATCAGAATATTGAGAGATGACAAAAAAAAAGATTAATGAGGATAACATTGCTCATGAAGTTGAATACTGCACAATGTTGACATAATGTCGCACATTGTGTTTATTAATATAAAAAAACATTGAGCATTGCGCTCTCCGCATGGGCGGAGCAAATAGAGTAGTTTGAAATTCTTAATTCATATTTCCTTTAATATCTGCCAACCAAAACAAGCTCAACGAGCAAATATACAGGATTAAACATGAAGAAAGGTACATTTCTCATTTGATTTGATTTTTATTTATGTTTATTCTGAAGGGTCAGTCCTCCACCTTCCGGTAACCTCCCTTGTTTTCTCCAGCTTGCTGCGGCTGATGACGTCCAGCGGTTTGCTCAGATGAATCTCGCCTGCAGAACAGAAGGAAACGCGGTGGAACATTAAAGGAGCGTTACGAAGATTCATGGATGGAAAACACGTGACGTTTCATCTGCAGGGCTCGAGCCTGCAAATCAGCTGCAGCACATCGTTAATGTGTCGGGGGCTCTGTGTTCATATGGGGGGGCAGACTGTCCTCCTCTCTGGAGAGCCGGACCGTCTGGAGAGAAGGGGGCAGGAGAACCAGAACCAGGACTGAGAGGGGCAGCCTGAGACTCTGCTGCGGTAGAACGAGGACTTCTTTAGGGCGCCGATGCTCAGAGAACTACCGCTTTACTCCACAGGGGGCGCCGGAACCACCAGCAAATAAAAGCGCTTATTAATAACATTAACATTTCGTAGTATTGATCACCTGCGTGGCTGTAAATCCAGAAATATTGCATCTCAGAGAGTTTCGCTTGTACAATATTCACAAATAAATATACTGTATAAATTTCAATATATATATACAAATTAATCTAGAAATTGCTTTAGTTTGAATGTAAAAAAAACAATTTTGCTGTTAAATAATTTAATGTTATTTGTGTGTGTATATTTATCCTAGTTTGAAAGTACAAACCCATTTCGTTGTGAAATTGTTTGTACTTCAAATTAAATATTCTTTTGTTATTGATTTTCAACATGTAGAAACATCTTAAAAAAATCAGGTTTCTACCAAATAAACAAAAGCAGAGACAGAAATGAATGTGATGAGTAATCGTTTATTGTCCCTTTCTGTTTACTCTCGTCCTGTCGTAGTTTTCACACAGCGGTTCACTCGTCGATGGGATTCACTCAGACCGCAATCATCAAGGATCAAACAAACTAAAGCACAAAACAAAACAGTTCAAAGTTGATAGAAATAAAACTCATCTGCTTCAAAAATAAAATAAAAACATTTAACACTGAAAACAAAAAGCTTGTTAGCATCAACAGTGATGATAATAATAAAATCACCATCACGCTTTACGACAAATAAAATCACAGCTCGTCTCCTATCGGCTACGCAACCCTCGACAACGATGTGAGCGGCGGAAACCTGACAAACGCTCTCATCCAATCAGACGGCGTGTTTTTGGTAAGTTAGTTTAAGTAGTCGGCTTCATCCGGTGATCAGAAAGCAGCGGCGACAAAAGAATGAATGTGTGCGGCGACACAAACGACACAAACCCCCCCTCCAATGAACCAGGAAGTTAACGTGAAGGGTTACATGTGTTGTCTTGTGCCCCCGCCCCCCCTTTCTACGAGCTACAGCAACATCGGTCAACAAACCAGCAGCTCGTTTGTTCAGAGGTGAAATTGAGAGCACCCGAAATGTTGGAACTCCTCCCTCACGGCGACGACGTGCAATTGGTCAAAGCTGAAACAGGAAGTTGATTACGGACGAATTCGGTGGATCTCCCCCCTCTCTCCCCCCTCTCCCCGTCCAAGTGAGGTGGTGAAGTGAGTTGGTCCAACCGGTTTGTTTACGTCGATCAGCAGACCGAAGTGTGGAATTGTAGTAAAAGCAGAACCGTCCCTCTGACCGCCGGGCGCCGTCTACCCGACGACTCACTGCTGGGGCGCGTTGGGCTCGCCGTTGTCCACCGTCCTGATGATGACGATCTGCTCCAGGCTCTGGGCCGGGGAGGGCGGGGGCCGCAGCTGCTCCACCAGCGCGTGGAGCGTGTCCGAGTTGATGGTCTGCTCCGGGTCGGGCTCAAAGGTCACCTGGTCAGCGGCGGCGGCGATGGGGGTGTGAGTGGGCTCCGCCTTGAAGTCCTGAACGATGGCGGCGGTGGCGGCTGCAGAGGGCGGGGGCGGGGCTTTGGGGGTGGTCGGGTCCGGGTTGGATGGCTCCCCGCCTTCGGGGATGGAAGCCATGCCTTTGTTTCCTGGGTGA